AGGTATAGGAATAGATATAACATAGATATAGGTATAGATATAGATATAAATACAGATATAAAGATCTAGAGATAGAGATAGATATAGATATAGATGTAGGTGTAGATACAGAGATAGATATATAGAGATAGAGTTAGATGTAGATATAGGTAGAGATACAGATATAGTTTTTGATACATGTATAGATGTAGATGTCGATGTAGATGTAGAAGTAGATGTAGGTATAGGTATATATAGGTATAGGTAGAGGTAGAGGTAGAGGTAGATAGGTAGATAGGTAGATAGGTAGATCATGGTTGTAATCGGGTGGTTGGGTCGATACCGAGACGTACGCGGTATTTATCGGTATATGTATTGCCAGTATTGCGGAGTTTCGGTTCGGTTNNCGCCATACCGAATACCCGCCACACCAACCACATCCCCCACCAGCCACACCAACCACACCACACCAGCCACACCACACCAGCCACACCCCACCGACCACACCAGCCACACCCCACCAACAAGCCAGCCACACAGACCAGACCAGCCACACAGGCCCCCACCAGCTGGGCGGCCTGCCTTGGGAGGGTGGATGGGGGTGGGGTGTTGGGCCTGGGTGTGGGGTTGGGCCTGCCTGGCGCTCGATGTCGCGCAGGTGGAGGAAATGGCGCGCAGGGGGAGGGTGCGGGGGGGTGAGGGGTTGAGCCTGCCTTGGGCTTGAATTAAATTAAATGACTCTAACCTTTCTAACCTCTCTAGCCTAGATGTCCAAATCCAAGGCCGGTTGAATTGTGAGGTTGGAGGGAAGTGGGGGGTTGAGCCTGCCTAACCTCTCTAGCCTGAACCAGTCAGCCCACCAACTGGAATCTGTGCGCCAGACCGGAGCGAATCTGTGCGCCGGCCCGGGGGGTCGGCGGATAAGGAACCCCCAAAATAGCTAGGGACGTAGGATCCCGGGGCTTGCTAGCAGCGGCTGCGGCTTGGAGAAAAGTGGAAAGCACAAAGCAACCCAGTGAATTGGGTGATTCGTACGTATTCTTTCGCAATTACCTCTGTGATCTTTTGTAGGTAGGAACCCTATGTACAATTTTTTGGTGTATCTTGGGCCTCTTTTAAGGTTTCCGGGCCGGTTGAGAAGTACGAAAGGGAGGAAGGGGAAGGCCAGCAACCTCAAAGCCGAAACGCTGAAGCCTCGAAGAGTCCCTCTGAGCTCCCTGAAACGATCATCCCAAAGCCACCTCTGATCATCCCAGGCCCTTCCCAAACTCAGGAGCCTCGTGCTTCAAAAAGTCTTTACCTTCTTGAAAGAGCCTTTCCGCCTTCGATCCCGAGCCCTAAACCCTAAACCTTATAACCTGAACCCGAAACCGAAACCCTAAACCCAGAACCTGAAACCTTAAAGCCATAACCCTGAACCCTGAACCCTAAACCGAAGCTGCTATAAGGCTGTGTGTGGTATGGACGCGGGCCTCGATCAGGGGTCCCTAGAAGCATCTGAACTGACGAAGCTCTGCGACAATGTTTAAATCGGGAATGCTGTAAGGGCTCTCGTTCGGGTGCTTTCTCCCAGGTTTTATAGGCCTTTCTGATTTAACGAGGTTTTGGGTTAAGTTTAGGATCAGGGCTGCTGCAAGGGTTGAATAAGGGTGGCATAGTCACTGTCTTTTTGTATTTCCGTTGGGGTATTGGGGTTTAGGAGGGTTCTCTAGTGGTGCCATACTAGTTGAATGGGGGTTTCGGATATGTAGATGCAGACCCTGCGTAGGTATCGGGAGTACCCTGGTCTGAGTCTAGTCTGTGTAGTTGGACCAAGACCAAACGGCACGGCAATGAATCCTTAGAGTTTGGGTTTAAGACCCTAGGCCCTAAACCTTAAACCCACTTAGTAATTAGGTTACAGGTAGGGTTATAAGCCGTACAAGCCCTGAACCTTAAACCCCAAACCCTAAACCCTAAATAAAGCGCATGCGGAGGAGATGCCTGCCTTGTCCTGGCCGCCGTGCGATGCTGGGGTGCCGGCCGCCTGCACGGAATGACGCATCCTGACCTCGCCTTCCTCCGAGGGCAAATAAAGGAACTGCTGTCCGATTCTGTGCATGTCCAGCCGAGCAGCAGTCGTGTCGTGCGTGACTCGTTACTTGGCAACGGCTCTCCTTAATGACTCGAATAAGCGTTCGATAAGTGCGACGCATCGATGCCTATAGACACGTTTTGACCTTTCTTGTCGTTCCGTACCTGTGTCGTCATCGTTTGATCTCCTGTGCCATGTATGTTTTTTCGGTACCCCGATTGAGCTCGTTCGAGTTCTCCTGCGAAGTTGTGCTTCAAGAAGCTAACCCCAAAGTCCCAAGAGCAAGACATGACAGCTCCGGGACATTATGATCAGGTTGTTTTGAAAATTGAAGAACATGAAGAAAGCGCTAGGATGTGATGATGACGCAACATGCAGGGACAGGAAGCGAACACACTTCAGAGACGGTTGAAGTTGGAGATAGTGGCTGCAGATGCATCATGTTTGAAAGGTTCCCGAGACCATGTTTTCTCACATCCGATGGATGTGGCCATCTCGAATGTGAATGTGGAACACCTGCCGCAACCAAAGTCCCTCTCGGTCTTGAAGCCCTAAAAATTCAGCCGGGAAATAGTGGCTGTAGATGCATCAGTTCTGAAAGGTCCCCGAAACCACGTTCATTCTCACATCCGCGTGATGTGGCCATCCCAAATGTGGAACACCTGCCGCAACCAAAGTCCCTCTCGGTCTTGAAGCCACAGCGGGGTCTCAGTTTCTCGCCCCTGCGTCTTCGGGCCCAAACCTGTGACATGGCTTTCCAGCCTTGCAGGCATTTGAGGCCCGAAGCCAAGGGTACGGAGCAGCTGTCGGACAGCAGAACAGCAGAAAGCACAGCACCGGTTGAGGATGTCAGCTGCCTTTTTGCTAATGCATGTGTGTTCGGTTCAGGGACGGGCGTATTTTTGGGCTTTAGCTGTGAGGGCCCCAAGAAGCTGCAAGGGGAAAGGCCTGAGCTGGCGAGCCATGGAGCAGAACGTCTCGGTTACGACTCTGAAGGAGGCTACGGGCCTGGACGATCGATCCATCCTCTTCGTCCCACTCCTCTTTGCGGTGTACTTCGTGACCGTTGGTCTTGGAACAGCCATCGTGGCACGGCACACAAAACGAGCCAGAAAGGCGAGGGTAGCCCAAGAAGCCAGGACAGCCGGACCAGCAGTGGCCCCAACCGTGCTGGGCAATCCGAGCTCCACCGATGCAGATGCAGCCGCGCTACTGAGCCCGCGCCCAGGGAGGGCGGGGACGTGGGCCGCACCTACAGTGTTTGCATGATCGCCACAGTGGTGAGCCTTGCAACAGGTACCCTGTCCAAGAGGACGGGTCTGCATTGGGAGTGGTACCTGGGACTTCTCAGCCTCGCATGCCTGTGGCACTTGCTTCAGGCCCTGTGTCTACCGAAAGATCACGAATATCCCCGGATGGCCTTCGCTGAGGCAACGCTGGCGGGCATGGTGCCCTTCATGTCAGACAACTTTGACACGCTGAAGGATGTCATCTTCGGAGGACTCTGCTGGCAGTCGGAACGGCCCGCCGTCAAAGCCATGGCGTGGATAAGCTGGCTGTACATCCCAGCATTCCACGCCTATCTTCTTCGGAAAAAGCGAGTGCTCAATGAACTGGCTAGCCACGTCCTCTCGGTCTGGACCATGGCGACGGAGACTGAAGATGCCCAGAGGCAAGAGCCCGAAGAGCCCGACAAGACTGAAGGCCCCAAGAAAAGCGGCTGCTTCAGAAGGATGTGGCAGGACGAGCTGCGTCCGAAGTTGCTTCAGATCCTCTACCGACAGACGACGCCCACGAAGCAACAGATGCTGCTCGTGGAGAACGCCCCGCAGGCGTTCATGGCGGTGCTGTACACAGCAGCAGAAGGTGGCAGCATCATCGTGTCCGTGCTGAACATCGCGCTGCCGATTCTGCAGGTGGTCGGAGCCAGGGCTCTCTTCCCACACCTTCGGGAAGCCGTGGTGCCCTGGTACGTGAAGAAACTGAACTCCGCCATCAAAGACGAGGATCCCTTAACCGTGGAACGACTCTGGAAAGAGGCCCGGGAAACCCTGAGTTTCAGTTGCAGGGAGGCTCTGCGCTTGCTGTGATGTCCATGTTTGAGCCGAGTTAGTGAGAGTAAATGAGTGAGAAGGCAGACTTCGAGCGGGCTCCAAAGCTGTTGGCTCGTGTCGTGCGTGGCCTCTCCGTCTTCGATGGCGAACCTCAGCTCCTCGACCGGTTGGAGTCCATGACAGGCCCCTTGCTGTGCTTGTCTGGCGTTTTCACAGTCACAGTTTTTGCGAATGCTGTGCAGGGGAAGAGAGCAAGCACCCACGCTACGGGGAAAAGCGTGATCCATGGGTGCAGATGGTGCAGCGATCACGGTACATCCAGCTCCTGAAGCAGATGCTGATGCTGGCAGCCTCCAAGGGTCCGCGCCTTGTTCTGGACGACCGAGACATGCGCGGCGATGCTCTGGCGTTCCAGGCTCGTCTTGGAAGCCCTTAAAGAAGCAAAATCAGCCCAAATCCTGACCATTAACCGTAAACCAGAGCAGAGTTGTGGTCAGCTTGCGTGTCCTCAGGCCGTCTGCAGCTTCCTGAAAAAGGCAGTCTTTGTGGAAAAGGCCCCTCCTTCCTTCTTTTTCATGGCTTGAGCCTGGGACAGGGCTGCCATAGGCCTGTCCGCCGTTGACAGGTAGATCTCTCCAGGAACGACCTCGGAGCAGAGGAGGGTCAGGCAGCAACGCGGGGCGCACGTTCTGGACTTGCAGTGACCTGCATTCTGAACTGTACCAGCTGACAGGCCCTGGCCGCCAGCATCGCTGCCAACAGCTCCATCATCGATTTAAAGCTGTCGGGAAACTCTTTTGGAACCATCGGCATGCAGGCGCTGTGCCGTGCTTTCACAGGGCCATACTTTCGGCCGAAGCCAGGAAGCTTGCTTTGTCTTGGGCTCCCTGCAGGCCCTGGCTGAAAAATCCTTGCGCACTCGGAGCCTTCGGCACCTCAGCGTCGCTGGCAACGGCCTGGGTGCGGCCGGCTTCCAGGCTGGGTTCGAGCAGGGTGTAGTGCAGCCTAGGCTCCTGCTCTTCTCTCTTGCAGGCCTTGGCAGAGGCTTTGGCGGAGACTTCCCTGCTGGAGTCTCTGGACGTGGGCTCCAACGATCTCGGACCGGAGTGCGCTGAGGCCTTGGCAGTGGCATCGTGTTGAGGTAAAGGGTCGTTTCAAGGGCTAGCTAGCCATCACATGAGGTCTCCTGCCGTAAGGAGCTTTGCTTTGCAAAATCATGTCCTGTCAGAAGGCAGCAACATGAGTGAAGTGTTGCGAGTCGCAGCGTTCTCCATGCTGTCAACCTTTCATCGCCTTTGTCGGGACGGGAAGCTCCTGTTGATGCTGCCAACGAAGCTGAAGCTCCTCCGTGTGGTCGGCCATTGGGCGCGAAGATATGCGAAGATCACTCGTTAAGACAACTACGTCGGAATTTCAGGAAGTATGAGCAACCGCATCATGCCCAAACCTTGCCAGACGTACACAGGCGCAGCTGCTTCGAAGCTCGGGAGACTGTCTGCAGCAAGTGTATCATACTGACGCCAAATATATAGATATAGTGGCCATTGTGGTGTGAATCTCTCGTTCTGCCAAGCAGAGCTGTCATGGAAGATGTGTTTGGGAATGTCGTTCTCGAGACCGGGCATCGGTGATTATTGATACAGTCGGACGGCCTTGAGGCTTATTCTGGTATCTTATCAGGTCTTATCTGAAAGTCATCTAGATATCCCTGGAAAGAGCCCAACGAAGCCTTCAAGGCTGAGTTCAGGTTTGCATGAGCCATGTTCATGGTGTGTCATCCTTGTGTATACGGACCCTGTTTCGACGGTCCCTGGTACACTTCTTCGTTTGATTCGGAGAGGGGCAAAGTGACTTCGACAGGTCCTTGCACCTATTGCATGCCCCGTGCCCAGCCTCGACAATGGAAAATCATTTACTGGGTCACATGACTTACCAATCTAGCCAAACGTCAGTGGATACCCTTGAGCCGGTGACAGACAAGCACGACCACTTGGCAAACTGCACTTGTAATTGAGATCAAGGAGAAGCCCTGTCATAGATGCCCGTACCACTTGGAAAGATTTAGATTCAGGTTCGACCAGGAAGCGTGGTGTTATCGGGTTTTGGCTTCTGATGCTCGGCTGGAACCCGTTCATGGTCCGAATTGCTCATGACCCGACCGAAGTTAGTCACAGCGGATCGCCACTTCCAGTTGCCAGCCTTTGTCTTTGCTTCGGTGCTGCTTTGCCGGATCCCCGCTGGCATGTCGTAGGTTTTTCGTTCGAACAGCTATTGCTGACAGTTACTTATTTTTTGTTCTGATGTTTTGTTGGAGCCAGCCTGTCTCGTATGCAGATTTCAATTGCATGCATTCCGAGTGCATTGCGTGCAGGCCCTGAAGACGGTCCTGAGCATCGCGACTCTGACGGACTTCCGAGCCGACCAGAACACCTTGGCGGGTGCAGTTGCCAAGGCCTGCAACGAGCCGAGAGCGGTTTGTTGCCCTGGTGCCTGGCAAATCATGTTTTTGTGCATCACGGAGGCGGTCACCGCAGCCCAGCGCAAAGAAAGCCTCCGCCAGCTGAGTGTGGCCGGCAACGACCTGGGCACAGCGGGCTTCCAGGCTGGGCTCGAAAAGCTTTCTGAACTGTGCTGACGCCGCTTTTCCTGGACCTTTGTCGCAGGCCTTGGCAGAGGCACTGGTCGAGACGGAGACCCCTGTGAAGATTATCGGTATCGATGTTGGATCCAATGGAATTGGGGAGGACGGTTCCGAGGCATGGACAGCGGCAGCATGTACTTGTCTTGGCAGAGTCTAACGTTGAGTCGGCGAGTCGGTTCCATGCAGTGCTGATTTCTTAGAAGCCGTAAGATCTGCTCTGTGAGCCGCAGCTTCGAGAACCCAATTTTTGTATCAGCTGGGAGGGGGGTAGTCGGGTAGTCAACCTTGCGGAGCGTAGTGTGCCATGTAGATGATGTGGTATCGGATATCGAGCCGTGGGAGCGTCGACCATTTTGCCTTTCTAGAGCTCTGTTTTGCTTTCAGGCGGATGTTGTCGCTCCGCTGGCCGATTTGTGCCCGTCGGGTGCGGCGCGTGTTTGTAAGAAAAGCTTGTAGGTCGTACATCTTGTCTGCCTCGCGTTATGTTCGATCGTCTGTATGCCGCACGCGCAGAAGTAGGTCGTACTGCAGTCGGATGCTCCGATGCATCAAACGCCACTTCGGCATGTTCAGGCCTTGCAGAAGCTTCTCCTTACCAAGACCTCAAGGACTTCCGTGCTGCCCACAACGCCTTGGCGGATGTTGGGGCCAAGGCCGGCAATGCAAGGCACCTTCCTTCTTCGTGCGTCGCCTCAGTTGCCAGGTCGTGGCAGAATGCCTCGACGCTGAACACTGTGTGATCGAACGACTGAGCCTCGTTGCCAACGGCATCGGCAAGAAAGGATTCGAGGCTAGGACCTTAGAGGGCAGCATGTGACCGTCGGCCAAGAGGGAGTCAGGGGCCCACCAAACATGCAGGCTCTGGCCTCCAATCGGCGACATGCGGCCGTTCAGCTCTACGTCTGCGCCTCTGCCACCGAGAACGTTGTGTGCCCTCTTCGTGCTCTTGGCTCAGGGCCTTGAAGACTGGGGGCCCCTGACTCACTAGCGGAGGTCCTGACATCCTGTACCTGTACCAGTATCAAAGACAACAGTCGGCATTATGATATGTTATATATATATATATATTGATTGGGTATATCTAACCACGTGCAACTTTCAACCCGACACATCCGCAGCTAGAGCCGAAGAGCGCCACTTCTGCGAGAAGTCGTCATGCTTCCCGTCGAAGCCATGGATTCCGCGGAGCACGGAGGACGTTCGACGGGCTAGGTTCTGCCTTTTTTCCGAGCCATGGGCGTTTGTCTACGAAACTTCTCATCGGGATAAACGGAGCTATGCCGTTGCTATGTCATGCTATGTACTTAGAACCCCCTGCTCTCGGGCATTGAAGGACTCACACTTTCGCTGATTCCATGCACATTCGGTGAACCCGTAAGGACCAACAGACCCTTAAAGCCAGGGACCCTATACCCCTCTACTAAGAGTCTCCATTATGGTATATGAACCTTGAGCCCTTTTAGGGTTCGTTTCATCCTGAAGGACAGAGCTTCCAAGGCTTCTCCAGCTGTCGTCGTGCGGTTGCATCTCTTGTGTTGGTGAGTTCGATCTGGAGTCTTGTTAGGGGATTTAATTTACCTTACTATAATAAAGAAACCCTAGTGTTTACTCTAGATCCCCATTATGGTAACGAAAAAAATAAACCCCCCCTAACGAGAGCCCAGACAAAGTCACACCCAGCTTCAAAGTCGAAGCGCTGAAGCACCAGACCCCGAAGCTTTCGACGCCCTGGCCCCTTACCCCTAAACCCTTGCAAAACTTGCAATCCGAAATCCTTGACAACTTCCACAGATAAACCCTGATAACTTCTAATCCGCAACTCCAAGAAGCTTCCATAGATATTTAGCAAGAGCCCTTCCTCTCGGACCGGAACCTCGGCGCCAGATGTCACATATCTAAGCGGTGAGATGCAGATGCAGACGGGGTCCATAGAAATTGGGAGCTCGATAGTAGGATTTGGGAGTTTAGGGGTTTAAGGATTTTTAGTAGGGTTTAGGGCCCTGGGTCGATTCCCTCTGCTTCGATCCTTAAGCTGTGCCGATTCCAGCGTTTCCCATGCAGGGTGGTGAAAGCCTCACTTCTATACTTGTCTTATCATAGGGATAAACGGGGCCAATGTAGGGGCCTTGATAATTAGAATAGGGTTTTGGGGTATCGTATACACCCCCCCAAAGAAAAAACGAAAAAAAAGCTAGGGATTTAGGATCCCGGGGCTTGCTAGCAGCGGCTGCGGCTTGGAGAAGAAAGGTGGAAAGTACAAAGCAACCCAGTGAATTGGGTGATTCGTATTCTTCTGCAATTACCTCAGTGATGTTTTGTATGTAGGAACCCTATATACAAATTTTGGGTGTGTCTTGGGCCTTTTGGGGTTTCCGGGCCGGTTGAGAAGTACGTAAGGGAGGAAGGGGAAGGCCACGAACCTCAACGCCGAAGCACTGAAGCCTCGAAGCGTCTCTCTGAGCTCCCTGAAACGATCATCCCAAAGCCACCTCTGATCATCCCAGCCCGTTTCCCAACTCAGGGGCCTTGTGCTTTGCCAAAAAGGTCCTTAGCTTCTTGAATTAGCCTATCCGCCCTCGAGAGCCTAAACCTTACAACCTTAACCCTAAGCCGAAACCCTAAACCCAGAACCTTAAACCGTTCAAACCTTGAAGCCATAACCCTAAACCCTGACCCCTAAACCCTAAACCGAAGCTGCTATAAGTCTGTGTTATGGACTCCAGGCCTCGATCAGGGGTCCCTAGAAGCATCTAAGAGCCGAAACTGACGACGCTCTGCGATCATGTTTACATTGGGAATGCTGTAAGGGTTCTCGTTCGGGTGCTTTCTCCCAGGTTTTTTTAAGTCTTTCTGATGAGGTTTTGGGTTTAGGATCAGGGTTGAGCTGTAAAGTAAGGGTTGAATAAGGGTGGTATAGTCTTTTTGGACTTCCGTTGGGGTATTGGGGTTTAGGAGGGTTCTCTAGTGGTGCTATACCAAGGTTCTATTTAGGTTGTTTAGCTGAATGAACTTTAAAGTTTAGGGTTTCGGATATGCAGATGCAGACCCTGTGTAGGTATCGGGAGTACCGTGGTCTGAGTCTAGTCGTTGTAGTTGGATTGGTCGTCTGCCTAAACGGCTCTGCAATGAATCCTTAGAGTTTGGGTTTTAAGAGCCTATAAGCCTGAAAACCATAAACCCTAAAGGCCTTAAGCCCTAAAACCCTGAAGCCCTAAAACCCTAAACCCCAAAACCCTAAAACCTTAAACCTTAAAGCGCATGCGGAGGAGCGGCCAGGCTTATCCTGACCGCCACGGGATGTTGGGCTGCCGGCTGCTCGCGCGGAATGACGCTAACTTCGCCGTTCTCCGAGGGCAAATGAAGGAATGCATGTCCAGCCGGGAAGTAATTAGGGAAGCTGCTGTCGTGCGTGACTCTTTACTTAGCAACGGCTCTCCTTGATGACTCGAATAAGCGTTCGATAAGTGCGACGCATCGATGCACTAGACAGGTTTTCACCTTTCTTGTCGTTCCGTACTTGTGTCGTCATCGTTCGATGTTCTGTGTCTTGCATGTTTTTTTCGGTACCCTCGTTCGAGTTCTCCTGTTAAGTTGAGCTTCAAGAAGCAGCCCCCAAAGCCCAAAGATGGGACATTATGATCAGGTTGTTTTGCAAATGGAAGAACAGGAAGAAAGCGCGAGGATGTGATGATGAGGCAACATGCAGGGACAGGAAGCGAACACCCTTCAGATGCATCGGTTCTGAAAGGTCCCCGAGACCATGTTCATTCTCAGATCCGATGGATGTGGCCATCCCGAATGTGGAAGACCTGCCGCAACCAAAGTCCCTTCGGTCTTGAAGCCCTCAAGATCGACCGTTTTGCTCTCAGATTCTGCGTCAAAGTCTATCACGACGATGACGTGCAGTTTCTCGATCCTGCGTCGGCTTTCGGGGGCCTTCGGGCCCAACGCTGACATCTCTTTCCACTTTGCAGGCATTTGGGGCCCGAAGCAAAGGGTACGGAGCCGCTGTCGGACAGCAGAACAGCAGAAAGCACAGCACCGGTTGAGGATGAAGTGTTTGGTTCAGCGACGGGCGTTTTTCGGGCTTTAGCTGTGAGGGGGCCCCAAGAAGCTGCAAGGGGAAAGGCCTGAGCTGGCGAGCCATGGAGCAGAACATCTCGATGACGACTCTGAAGGAGGCTGCGGGCCTGGACGATCGATCCATCCTCTTCGTCCCACTCCTCTTTGCGGTGTACTTCGTGACCGTTGGTCTTGGAACAGCCATCGTGGCACGGCACACAAAAAGAGCCAGAAAGGCGAGGGAAGCCCAAGAAGATAGGCCAGCCGAAGCAGCAGTAGCCCCAACTGTGCTGGGCAATCCGAGCTCCACCGATGCAGATGCAGACGCGCTACTGAGCCCGCGCCGAGGGAGGGCGGGGACGTGGGCTTGTCTGGGCCGCGAAAGGGCGGTTCAGATCTGCTTCCTGTGCACCTACAGTATTTGCATGATCGCCACGGTGGTGAGCCTTGCAACAGGTACTCTGTCCAAGAGGACGGGTCTGCATTGGGAGTGGTACCTGGGACTTCTCAGCCTCGCGTGCCTGTGGCACTTGCTTCAGGCCCTGTAACTACCGAAAGAGCACGAATATCCCCCGATGGCCTTCGCTGAGGCAACGCTGG